CGTTTAGTGTTCTGTTCGGCTTTACCAAGTTTTTTCTCCCTTTCATTTTTACAAATGATGGACACCCGCGGCAGAGAACTTCATTAAAGGTCTTTTTTTCTTGGTTGTCCACCGGACAGGATCTGTTGGCCGAAATGAAAATAGTTTGTCTCGGACAACCTGACCAATGGTTATGTCTACCCCTACCCCAATTACTGAACACTTTCTGTAAATCATATCAGCTTCATTTCACTTCTCAAATATCACTGTGTTTGTCCCCTATATGATATATTTAACTGATATTTTTTAGCCAAACAATCAATGATTTATAAAGGTAAGTCGGGAAAATTAACAAGGCTGCCCAAACTTTCGCACCCCACTGTATTACTTTGTGCGTAAAACCCTAATCAAAAAGAAAAACAAGTAAGTCATCTGGACGAGTTCTTCTTTAATGAAACGTTTTGTCTCTCCTCCAAGAGATGAAACATTTTTTTATTTTATTTTTCTACCTGGCTTACTGAGATGCATCAGGACATAAAAGCCTAATGTTGAAGTGAGCAGTACAGTCAGTTAGTTCAATCTAAATGATAAAGATGGTTAATTCTGCTTATCTAAATGTACATATTAATACTTGGCAATAAAAACCAATTTATTTCAGATTCTGTATGGCATGCATGTCCATACAGAATTTTACTATCAAGCAATGTTTACAAGCTTTGTATTAGAATGCTAAACTGTCAGAAATTGTTCCAGATTAACATAGGATGCTGTTTGTATAACAATTTATTTTGTCAAACAGAATGGTGATTTAAAAAATACACAATGACTTAAAACCTTTATTGACAATTTGTAGGTCTTATCAGGGATTTTCATAGATATTGTAAATAGTTTTTATTTTATAATAAGAAATGTAAAACCATCCAAATGAAAACTRTTTGTTTCATTAATTTGTTTTCAATAGTTCATTTGCAGATCTAGGCACTAAAAAGACTTTTATTAAGTTTTATAGATAGATTTTTTTATGAGCTCAATATATAATTTTCAACATTATTACACAACATGATGATATGGTCATGGGTTATGTAGCCCCTCTGTCCTGGGAATGCTTCCGGGTCCCCCAGGACGAGCTGGAAAGTGTTACTGGGGAGAGGGATGTCTGGATTTCMCTTTGGGACCTGTTGCCTCTTCGACCCAACTACAGATAAGTGGAAGAAAATGGTGATGGAYATGATGATGTGGTATAAACTACTGAAAACATTTAGTTGCAGTTTCCCAGTTCAGTCTTTGTGACTCACCTGACAGTGTTCTCATCCAGTTTGCAGTAAGATCTAAAAACCTAAAGACCTAATTTCTTCTCCATTTCTTCCTTTATTTGTCTCTTCTTGATCTAGAAGAATAAATTAGATTATCTGCCACTAAATAGAAATGTATTTGTAACAATGTTTTCAATAAAGCAGAGCAGTTACCTTTCCTGAGGACGTCAGTGGGAAGCTGTCTACAAACATCACATAGTGTGGGATCTTGAAGTGGGAAATCTAAAGGAAATAAATAAACATCTGTGCAGAAACTGTCCAGCTTTGTTCAGGTTTATAACATTTCAGACTTATAGATCTTTGATTCTCACTTTGCC